GGTTTGCTGGGATTCATCAACACCAACCTGGGCTCTGTCTGCCCACTCTGTCTACCAGGGATCACAGAGACAAACCCTAAAATAGACTTTTTTGCTTTTTTTTTTTTTAACTTTTTTCCCATTTATTTAATACAGGGTCTTGCTACCCAGTTGAGACTTGTAGTGATCCTCCTGTCTCAGCCTCCCCAGCGCTAGGATTACAGGCGTGCAGCAGCACACCTGGGATTCCGGGGCCGGCACGGCAGGCAGTACTGGAGATCACACTTGGGTCCTTGCCGGGTAGGCGCTTACACCAGTGAGCTATTCCAACAGTCCCTTCTTTTTTCTTTTTCTTTCTTTTTTTTTTTTTTTTTCAACAGGGTCTCACTATACAGCTCAGGCTGGACTCAAGCTCACTTTGTAGCCCAGGCTGGTCTCAAACTCACAACGATCCTCCTGTCTCAGCCTCCCCAGTACTGGCATTACAGGTGTGTGCCACCATGCCCAGCTGGACTTTTCTTTTCTTTTTTTTGTTGTTGTTGATTGTTGGTCACACATGTCCATGTTTCTAGTTTTTTTTTTTTTCTTTTCCTGCTGTTCTGTTCTGTTTTCTTTCTTTCTCCTTTCTTGTCCTCCTGTCTTCTTCGCCAGTGGCCCAGCGTTTGTGTACTATTCCTTTGTGCTCCAGCACTGCTTCGAATTTGTCCCTCTATTTCCGTTTTCTCCCCCCCCCCCATCACTTTCCTCTCTTTTCCCTTTAGGGTAAAATCATCATACTGAGTGTGTATCTACTTGTACACAATTTTCTGGTTCATTTTATTTTATTTAAATTTATTTAGGGGCTGGTGAGATGGCTCCGTGGTCTAAAGCACCTACTTAGAACAAGCTTAGCAAAGCACAGGGACCGGGGTTCAATCCCCCAGCACCACACGCCAGCCAGCCCCGCCCCCTGGTGGGCTGAGCTGGCCACACACACACACACACACACACACACACACACACACAAATAAATAATAAAATGTTAAAAAAAATTACTTTAAAAATAAATTGAGGTGGAACCTTGCAACAGACTTAACACCCAGAAGGCAGCTGCAGCTGGTAGACAGGTCTGAGGAGGAGGCATACCCTGAGGGCTCTAAATACTAGCAAAACAGGCCACGTGTGGTGGTACACACGTGAAATCCCAGCATGCAGCAGACTGAGGCAGCGAGACCAGTCTGGGCTACAATATGAGCTCAGGCCAGCCTGAACTACATAGCGAGACCCTGTTTTAAAAAGACAAAATAAATAAATACTAGCAGAACAGCTATTTGCCATAATCAATGTGCTAGTATCAATCCAGGAATTAAAAAAAAATTGAAAATAAGAAGACTCTTTTTTTTTTAAATATTTATTTATTTTTATTTATTACATTTATTTATTGTGTGTGTGTGGCCAGCTCAGCCCACCAGGGGGCGGGGCTGGCTGGCATGTGGTGCTGGGGATCGAACCGCGGTCCCTGTGCTTTGCCAAGCTTGTTTCAAGTAGGTGCTTTAGACCACTGAGCCATCTCTCCAGCCCCTGAAAATAAGAAGACTCTTGAGAAAGATGCAACCCAACTTCCAGCTCATCAAAGGCAGACCCAGGCGGAAATGAAATGGAACAATTTACTTTTTTTTTTTTTTTTTTTTTAAGGATTTTGGTTGTCGCAGGGTCTTACTACATAGCTTGGACTCGTGGTGATCCTCCTCCTTTCAGCCTCCCCAGCACTGGGATTACAGGCATGCACCACTACACCCAGACTCTGGGCGACTCAGCCCACCCTGGTGCCAGGGATCGAAATGCAGTCCCTGAGCTTGCATAAACTTACCGAAGCAGGCGCTTCAGTCCTGAAATGGAGCAATTAGAAAGCGACCACGTGAACACTCGTAAGTGTCAAGAGTGGGACTAATGGCTGGGGAGATAGCTCAGTAGAATAAGCGCTTTAAGCGCTTGCCTGGCAAGCACAGGGTCCTGAGTTCAATCCCTAGTACAAAAAAAAAAAAAAAAAGAGTGGAACTAACAAAGCAGATGAATGAGGCTGTAAGGAAAATAAAATCCGAATTTCTCTTATAACTACAGAGATGGTATCCATAATGAAAGATGTGCTTAGTGACTCTACAGCAGATACAGATATGAAAATGATGGAAATCATGAACATCCAACAAAGGGAAGATATGTAATCTATGAAACAGGTTCACAAAGATATCAAGGGGCTAGCCAAATAGCTCAGCAGATTAAAGAACCTGCAAGCAGGCACAGGGGCTAGGGGTTTGATTCCCCCACCCCTGCCGGGCTGGTGCCAGCCCCACCCCTGGGGTATGCTGAAACTGCAATTCAGACTGTGGGTGGTGGCATGCACCTGTGTGGCATGCACCTGTAATCCCAGCTCTTGAGAGGCTGTAAACAGGCTGATCACTATGAATCTCATCTAGTAGTGAGACCCTGAACACCCTGTAGACCCTTCCCTAAAATACAAAAAAAAAAAAAAAAATAAAATCAAGATTTAAAAATTCAGGGTCAGGGCTGGTGAGATGGCTCCGTGGTCTAAAGCACCTACTTAGAACAAGCTTAGCAAAGCACAGGGACCGTGGTTCAATCCCCCAGCACCACATGCCAGCCAGGCCCGCCCCCTGGTGGGCTGAGCTGGCCCCCCCCCCACACAAATAAATAAAAATTTAAAAAAAAAGAATACAGCTTTAAAAAAAAAAATTCAGGGTCAGAGAAATAGCTCAGTAGAATAGGTGCCTTGTCCTGAGTTCAATCCCTGGTACCGAAAAAAAAAAAAAAAAAAAAAAGATTTACAAAGTGTTTGGGGCCGGGAGATGAGTTCAATCCCCAGTTCCACCAAAAAAAAAAAAACCACAAGAATCACAGCAGACTTCTCAACACAAACTCAAAGGTCAAATAAAACTTGGAGTGAGCTATTTCAAACCCTAAAAGAAAATAACTTCTAGCTCTAATTTATATAGCCCCAAATTATCTTTCCAAATTAATGGAGAGGGGCCAAAGAGAGAGCTCCATGGTCTAAAGCACCTGCTTAGGCAAATTTAGTTCAATCACTGGCACCACATGCTGTGACAGTCACCAAAAAAAAAAAAAGTTAATGGAGAAATAAGATTCTTCCAGGGGCCGGGGAGATGGCTCTGTAGAATAAGCGCTTGCCTGGCAAGTGCAAGGGCCTGGATTCAATTCCCGGTTTCGCAAAAAAAAAGAAAGAAAGAAAGAGAAAAAATCAAATAAACACATATTGGTGGACCTCAGTATCCCACTGTCACAAATAGACAGGGGCTGGTGAGATGGCTCAGTGGTCTAAAGCACCTACTTAGAACAAGCTTAGCAAAGCACAGGGACCGCGGTTCAATCCCCCAGCACCACATGCCAGCCAGCCCCGCCCCCTGGTGGGCTGAGCTGGACACACACACACACACACACACACACACATAAATAAATAAAATTTTTTTAAAAAAATACACTAGCTCACTGACCATGCTTAACTAAATGCAAAGGAAGTGAAATTATCCCATGTATACTATCAAACACCTCAAGCTTCTACAAATAGAAGAGCAAGTCAAGCCCCAAGCTCATATTATGAAGGAAATTATGAAGATAAATGCAGAAATTAATATAACAGAGACTAAGAGAACAATACAAAGAATCAATTAATTGATGAGTTGATTCTTTATATTTATTTATTTATTTAGCGGGGATTGAACTCAGGACCTTGAACTTGCCAGGCAAGAGCTTATTCTACTGAGCCATCTCCCTGGCCCCAAGCTGGTTCTTTAAAAGATTAAAGAAAATTGAAAACCCACGTCAAAATATACAAAGATTAAAAAAAAAAAAATAGACTGAAATCCATGCAATTAGGAATGAATGACCAGGGTGAAATCACAACAAATTTTATAGAAACCCAGATCATCAATACCTACTATAAGAACTTTTAGTCTTTCGAAAGGTAGGAAGTACAGAAGACACTGACATCTACCAAGTGTGGTGGCACACACCTGCAGTCCCAGCACTCAGGCGGCTGGGGGAGGAGGACCACTGGGAATTCAAGGCCAGCCAGGGCTACAAAGTGAGTTCAAGGCCAGCCTGAACAACATGGTGAAACCCCGTATCAAAAAAAAAAAAAAAAAATATATCATGGAAAAGGGGAGAAAGAGGAGGAGGAAGAAGAGAAAGAGGAGGAGGAACACAAGACGGAGAGGAAAGAAATACCGAGAACCGCTGCAGGCGGCCAAGGTACACATGAATTACCAAAGCTGAATCAAGAAGATATAAAAATTCTTGGGTCGGGGAGATGGCTCAGTAGAATAAGCGCTTGCCTAGCAAGCGCAACGGCCTGAATTCAGTCCCCGGTTCCAAAAAAAAAAAAAA